ATAAGCTTGAGGAGAATGCACATTCTAGGTTCTGGGGGAGAATAATACTAAAGTTAAGAAAATGAATACACTTAAAGTGGAATTTCTGGCATTAGCAACTAGATAAGGTGAAACCGTTCCATTATTATCCATAAGGTTTCTTTCTTCTGCTAGAAAAGGGCGTCATGTTAGTAGCAGGTCAGCAGAAAACGAGGGAAACCCTTAATGGGATGGACTGATACAGTATCTACAATGAACTCAAACATATCAATGACCATGAAGAAGTCACAGGAATGGGAAAAGTGTCCTTCAGTTATGCATAAGGTTATCAGGAGTCAGCACTGATGCAATGGCAACTAACAACAAAAACAGCAATGTAAAAAAGCTGAAGTCACCCCAAACTCACAAAGATAATGTTCAGCAGTTTTTTCTTAAAGGAATTGTTCTGTGGTTTTACTTGGGCGTTTATTTCCTGTACCTGTCAGCAGCTGCTATTCCCTTTACTTGGATCCTGATATGTAACACACAGAAATGCAAAGGTTTACCAAATTTACTCTTGTCAATCTGAAGCTTAATAGTTAGAGTCAGGAAGTGTTGAGCAACAGATATTTAATAAAATAATGGCTGTTCGAGATGGTAAATACATATTGGAACACAGAAGTTCTCTTTTGTAGTTGCTAAAAAAACGGTTACTTTAATAGTATAATTTTTATACTATTAAATATATAATTTGAATATATAATTAATTCAAATTAAATATATAAATATACTTATAAATATATAAAGCTCCATAGAGTTTTCCTGCTATGATCTTTTGAAAGCAGATGACCAAGTTTTTTTTCTAAGGTGCCTCTGGTTAGGTTCAAACTACCAACCTTTTGCCTACAGTTGAGCACTCAACCTATTTGTGATACCCAAGGATCCCACAATTTACACAAAGGGCCTTATAGACTCCCAACTTTGGAAGTAGCCTCAAATCAGTCATTTATGTTCTAGAATATGAAAAAAATCCACCAAGTGAAATTAAGCCTGCCATTTCAAGATAAAAATCCATATTTAATCCAATTAAATTATATAGACATCATTCTTTTAATACAGATATGTGTCACGTCAATTCCATCTCAGAGTGAACTTACATAGGGTTTCAGAGACCCTACAATACATTCTGTGAAATAGGACATTATGTGGTTTTGGCATTGTGGAAACACTTTATGGGAGCCCACTCCCAATCATCCTCAACAGGACTGATGCTGATGCTACTGAAGGAGCCTCAAACAAGCACTGGCAATGGCAGCGGCTGAGTGGGCAACAGCAGGAGCAGAACATTAGGAAGTGAGGAGGCCTGGGATCTGTTCCCAGCACTGCCCACTGTTACCCTGCATGAGCAGCAAGAGCAGCTCAGCCCCACAGCCTCTGCGATCACTAGAAGCCTGTCTCCTGAACAAAAACGAAGAGCCTGCATCCATAGCCACCTCTTCTGCTACACCTACCTGTATCCTACCATGGGCCAGTTGCTGCCAGAGTCTGAGTTTGGAGGTTTTGAAACCATTGTTGCTACTGTTGTTGTTAGGTCCTATCAAGTTGATTCTGACTGATAGGTGACTCTATGGACAACAGAACAAACAACTGCCTGATCCTGTGCCATCCTCACAATTGTTATATTTGAGTCCATTGCTGCTGCTGCTGTGTCAGTCCATTTCATTGGGGGCCTTCCTCTTTTTCCAAGGACTGGTCCCTCCTGATAACCTGTCCAGAGGATGAGAGACAAATTCGCACCATCCTCGCTTCTAAAGAACATTCTAGCTGTGTTTCTTCCAAAACAGATTTGTTTGCTCTACTTGCAGTCCATGATACTTTCAATATTCATCACCAATACCATAATTCAAATTATCAGTTCTTCTAGGATCTTGCTTATTCATTGTCCAACTTTCACATGCATATGAGACTATTGAAAATACATGGCTTGGTCAGGTTCATCTTAGTCTTCAAACTGATACCTTCACTCTTTAACACTTTTAGGAGGTAATATGCATCATATTTGCCTAATACAATGTCTTTTGATTTCTTGGCTGCTGCTTCCAGGAGTGTGTTGATTGTGGGTCCAAGCAAAACAGTGTTTGACTTCAATCTTTTCTCCATTTATCATGATGTTACTGGTTGGGACAATTGTGAGGATTTTTGTTTTCTTACAA